CACCATTCCTCTCAGGGTGATGCCAGGGGTCCCACCACCCCTCTCAGGGTGATGCCAGGGGTCCCACCATTCCTCTCAGGGTGATGTCAGGGGTCCCACCACCCCTCTCAGGGTGATGCCAGGGGTCCCACCACCCCTCTCAGGGTGATGCTGCCCCAAGCCAGTGGCAGTGGAAGGTGGAGGATGCTCTAACCTGTCCCATTCTCTCCTGTCCCAGGGTCCCCAAGGTCCTGCCGGCCCTCCTGGTCCTGCTGGTGCTCGTGGTCCTGCTGTAAGTTGATGTTCTCCTTCATCCTCCTCAGTGTCTCTGTGTCCCCATGGGTGTGGGGGCAGTGGTTGGTCTGGACCTCACTCAACACATCTTCCTCCTCCTTCTCCTCCTCCTCCAGGGCCCACAAGGTCCCCGTGGTGACAAAGGTGAAGCTGGTGAACAGGGTGACAGAGGCATGAAGGGTCACAGAGGCTTCTCCGGTCTTCAGGGCCCACCTGGTCCTCCTGTAAGTCCTGTGGGGTGACGGTGGCCCCGGGTGCTGCCCCATGTCCTGGAGGCAGCACAAGATGCTGATGGCACCTCTTCCTCTTCTTCCTTGCTTGGCACAGGGCTCTCCTGGTGAACAAGGTCCTTCTGGTGCTTCTGGTCCTGCCGGTCCACGAGTAAGTCCCTGGATGAGCCACAATATCCAGTATCCCGAGAGGGAACAGGAGTCCCCACCACCATCGGGCTCCTCGTGGGGCTGTGGGTCAGGGCATGAGGGGACGACTCTGCCCGGGCAGGACGGCCACACTCACCCTTTCTCCCATCCCACAGGGTCCTCCTGGCTCCGCTGGTGCTGCTGGCAAAGATGGTCTCAACGGGCTGCCCGGCCCCATCGGCCCCCCCCGGCCCCCGCGGCCGCACCGGCGACGTTGGCCCTGCCGTACGTACCGGCCCCTCTGCCGCCCGCCCAGCACCACCTCCTTCATCATCTACCTGCTCACCGTCCTCCTCCTCCTCTCCTCCTGCAGGGTCCCCCTGGCCCACCCGGCCCCCCCGGTCCTCCCGGCCCCCCCAGTGGTGGATTCGACTTCAGCTTCCTGCCCCAGCCGCCCCAGGAGAAGGCCCATGATGGTGGGCGCTACTACAGGGCTGACGATGCCAACGTGATGCGTGACCGCGACCTGGAGGTCGACACCACCCTCAAGAGCCTGAGCCAACAGATCGAGAACATCCGCAGCCCCGAGGGCACCCGCAAGAACCCTGCCCGGACCTGCCGCGACCTGAAGATGTGCCATGGCGACTGGAAGAGCGGTCAGTGTCCCATGCCCCTCTGTGCCCTCACCTCCATCCCTCTGTCCCCTCTGTGCCCTCACCTCCATCCCTCTGTCCCCTCTACCTGCTCCTCACCTCTGACCTTCTTCCATCCCTGTGGTTGATTCCCATCTTCCATCCTCTATCCTGTCTCTCATGGCTGCTCTCACCTCCATCCTCTGTCCCTCCATCTCCTGTTTGCTCCTCACCTCCTTCCTCTTCTCCTCCTTGTGGCTGTTGCCCAACTCCACGCTCCACCCCTGAGCTTCCTCCTACCTGCTCCTCATCTCCCTCCTCCACCTCTCACAGCTGCTCCTCACCTCTCCTTCATCTCTTCATTTTCAAGCTCTCATATCCTTCATCTTTCCATCTCACATCCCTCAACTATCCCTCCATCCTCTGTTCCTGCCACTTGCTCCTCACCTCCATCTTCATCTGTGGCTGTTCCTCACTGTCATCCTTCATCCCTCCTGACTGCTCCTCACCTCCATCCCTCTGGCTGCTCCTCA